AGGGAAATAAACAAAATGGGAACTCCAGACCACTCACATCTAATATTATAGTTTCACATCTTCTCTAATATTGTTTGGAGGCATTGAGCAATAAACATAGTCCAATTTGTGCCGTTAATTAGAGATGCAGATTCATTTATACTACTTTAAAGAATACAGTGCTTGGTGAATATATTAGGGTGAAAATTAGTGGCAGGCAAAACATTATTTTCTAACCCTGTTACAAGCATTCCATCATTGGAACTGACTATTCTAGCTGTGAAATAGAAATCAAAATGGCTTATTTTGAAATCAGGCCATTTTTGATAAGGTTGGAGTAGCTGGTTGTATGGTTGGACTGAGAGGTTTCAGGATTGGGATGTCCTGGAATATTGAAATAATGAGGTTTTGATGCATTTCAAAATTGCAGTCCAGCCAGTGGCCTACGGGTCATCCTGAGTGAAAAAGAACAATCTACAAATAGACTTTGGAGCACACAGTTTATGCTTTATTTTTCAATTAGGGGCAAGAAACAGTTGAGTTTTTGTTGTTAGGACCCTATGAAGCCTAACAGATCCTTCTGAAAATTAGGGTCAGAATTTTTGCAAACCTCATGAGCTTTATGCAGTATTTGGATATTTTGCATAACTTCATCCTTCAATCATGAGGGCAGTGGATTCTCTCCTCTCCCCGCTCCTGAGCCTACTGAACTCCATTCTGCTCTTCTGAAGTATCACCAGCATGCTATACTTGTTTTTCTTAAAATGAAAATTGATACTCTTAGGATTTTGTATTCTGTAGCCAGTATCCCGTTTGGTGCTTTGTTTGCAATGTCTCCACTTTGCAGCATGCAGACACCTCTGGTCATTCTGATTCTCATTTTGGATCAGAGATTTGGAGGGTTTTAAAACACTAGTTTATGTTTCCAATTATAGATGCAATGGGACCCGGTTGTCCAGACATCATCAGCAACAAGCTTGTGAAAACTTTCACAGCACTATCTTATGCCAATGGCAGGTAAAAAACAATTATTTGCTTTCAAGTCTCGTAAAATTTATAAATAGGAATTAAATTGGTTTATTATTCTCTGGAGGCTCACTAAATCATGTACCATTGCCTAAACAGGGATCAGAAATAGTTTGCAAAAAAATACTTGTATCAAAGGAAAACCGATGTGTTTATTTTCAATATATTTCATAGAGAATGATTCCAAGAAACTGCTCAGAAATCCTTTGTAGCTGCATTTAACTGAAACATACAGATGTTTCTTCTTCAAAAAGGGAATATAAGGAAGCACACTGAGAATAAATAACAATTCATATTATTATTTGGTATTTTTGTTTTTGCTTCTGGACTTAGTTGATGCATGCTAATGTGTCTTTCATAATCCTGTGGAAGGTAGACCCTCTTTTAACATTACAGCACCATATTAGGAAACATTGTTCAGGAGTACCTTCTCCCACGTCTATGTCAAGGTTCAAAATTAAGATCATGTCTGTTTTACTAACTTCCTTCCTCTCTCATCTCAAGAAAAACTGTCATATAAAATGGTGAGGGATAAATGTCTTACTCCATTTCAAGCTGCCTTATTTTTGTAGATAAAGGTATTTTATCTTTGTGCTGTTTTTAATTGGACCCTCTGATTTGGTTTTTGTAATGTACATCTGTGCTTATGGTATATATTATGACATATACACAACTCTTCCACTTACAAACTATATGGTCCAAAGTCTGGTGGTTACTTGGCTTAAAATTATCTACTGTACCAGCTGTTGTCACCACATGTGTCCCCCTCACCTCATTCTCTTCCTGACTTAGAAACTAAAAGGTATGCAGGACAGTAAATTACAGAAGAATAATACAAAATGAAGCCTCTAACCCAAAGATTCTTACATTATACAAACTCTTGAATTTGTATTCTGCTGGCACAAAATACCGTGCAGAATGCAGGAAACAGCAAACTTTTTGTTTTACTGCTTTCTAGGGGAATGTAGAATGCATATAGCAGCAAGGAAGCACAGTTGTTGTATCATTATTTTCTTCTTATCCTTCCCATTTTGTATTTTAGGATACACAACCTAATTTCAGCCTCAATGAAAGTTAAAATAACAGCATACGCTATAGCCCTGGCTTTGCATATTAACAATTTTGAAACAGATCTGACAATCTTGCAGAGAGATCTGAAACTGCGTGATAGCAGGTAAGATTAACAGCACAACTGTATTCATCATCTGTTCTCTTACCAACTGGCTAATAATTTCAGGGGCCCCACTGACCTTTGAGGGGTACCTGGAAAACTGTACACTCCCCCATTATTTTTGGACCCGCCTTCCCCAGTCCTCCAAATGTGCTAGTCTACAACATCTATATCTTCCAGTCAACAGGTTCTGGGGTCATGTAGCTGGGAATTATGGGGTTGTAATTAATATTCCTAGATGTCAGGCTGATATTTCTCCCTTAAAAGGGAAAAGTAGTAC